TTCTGGGTTGGAGTCCCGGGGGAACCAGGACCAGAGGGTTCTGGGTTCGAATCCCGGGGGAACCAGGACCTTTCTGGGTGGTTCTGCATGTTCTCCTGTGTCTGTGGGTTCTCTCCGGGTTTTCCGGCTTCCTCCCACAGTCCAAAAACCTGCATGTTAGGCTGATTGGAGAATGGGGAAATTGCCCTTAGGAGTGAATGTGAATGTGAGTGTGCGTGGTTGTTGGTCCTTGTGTGTCTCTGTGTGTCCTTGTGATGGACTGGCGGACTGTCCAGGGTGACCCCGCCTCTCGCCCGTTGACCACTGGGATAGTTTCCCCCGCGACCCCATGAGGGAATAAGCGGTATTGATAATGGATGGATGGATGGAACCATCTTTTGCAGATGCAGCGCCACAACCTGGCCCAGCACATGCAGGAGTTCACGCAGATGCACATGCGCTTCATGGCCGAGTACCTGCGGGGCCTGAGCCTGAACGGCCCCGGCCCCAGACCCTGCCCCCCCCCCCGAGGACCCGGGGGCTGCTGCTATCGGGGCCTCGCTGAGCTCCTGCGGAGGGCCCAGAGCGGCCGGGGGGGGCTGCAGCCCCTCGGGCTCCAGCCAGGAGATGCAGAGGATCCGGGAGATGGACGGGAGGCTGGTCAAACAGGACCACCAGCTCAGGGAGCTCATCATCCTAAAGGAGACGCAGGTAAGGGGAAAGCGTTTATATTCAGATAAAGAAACATATAATCCATCCATCCATCCATCCTTTATCAGCTCATCATCCTAAAGGAGACACAAGTAAGGGGAAAGCATTTATCTTCCAATAAAGAAACAAAAAATCCATCTATTCATCCATTATCAGGTCATTATAGCTCATCATCCTAAAGGAGACGCAGGTAAGGGGAAAGCATTTATCTTCCAATAAAAAAAACAACATATAATCCATCCATCCATCCATTGTCATAACCCCTTATCCCCTAATGGGGTCAGGGGGGACTGGATAGAGATGTATAAAGTACTGGAGTAGAAGTACAAGTACTATATAAAAAAATTGACTTGAGTAAAAGTAGAAGTATTCTTTAAACTCCATACTTAAGTGGAAGTACAAAAATACTCCATTTTCCTTTACTTGCAGTGGGGGAAATAAGTATTTGAGCCCTTGCTGATTTTGCAGGTTTGCCCACTTACAAAGAATGCTTATTTTTCCTCATCAGATGGTTATCTGATCTGAACTGATCTGAACCTAACTGAACTGAACTGATTCTCCCCCAGGCGGGGCATCTGGTGGTCCCTGGTCCCTGGATAAATAAATCTGAACTGAACCTAACTTAACTTAACTTAACTTAACTTAACTGAACTGAACCTAACTGGTCTGAACTGAACTGAACTGAACCTAACTGAACTGAACCTAACTGAACTGAACCTAACTGAACTAAACTAAACTAAACTAAACTAAACTAAACTGAACTGAACTGAACTGAACCTAACTGAACTGAACCTAACTGAACTGAACCTAACTGAACTAAACTAAACTAAACTAAACTAAACTAAACTAAACTGAACTGAACTGAACTGAACTGAACTGATCTGATCTGAACCTATCTGAACTGAACTGAACTGAACTGAACTGAACTAAACTAAACTAAACTAAACTGAACTGAACTGAACTGAACTGATTCTTCCCCAGGCGGGGCATCTGGTGGTCCCTGGCCCCTGGTCCTGGTCCCCTGGATAAATAAACTGATCTGAACCTAACTAAACTAACCTAACCTAACTGAACTGAACTGAACCTAACTGAACTGAACTGAACCTAACCTAACTGAACTGTTTTAACTGAACCTAACTGAACTGATTCTCCCCCAGGCGGGTCAGCTGGTGGCCCCTGGATAAATAATCTGATCTGAACCTAACTGAACTGAACGGATTTGAACCGAACTGAACTGAACTGAACTGATTTAACTGAACTGTTTTAACTGAACTGAACTGTTTGATCTGAACTGATTCTTTCCCAGGCGGGGCAGCTTCTGGAGCTGCGGCGGCGCGTGTCCCAGCTGGAGGACTTGAACTGAACTAAACTAACCTAACCTAACCTAACCTAACCTAACTGAACTGAACTGATTTAACTGAACTAAACTAAACTGAACTAAACTAAACTAAACTAAATTAAATTAAACTGAACTGTTCTGAACTAAACCTAACTGAACTGTTTGAACTGAACTGTTTGAACTGAACTGATTCTTTCCCAGGCGGGGCAGCTCCTGGAGCTGCGGCGGCGCGTGTCCCAGCTGGAGGACTCTGTTCGGGAGCTGGAGGCGCAGCAGTGCGGCGGCGTGTTCGTGTGGCGTCTGCGCGGGTTCTCCGCGCTGCTGCGGAACCAGGAGGCGGGGCAGGCCGTGGTAGAACATAGCCCCGGGTTCTACACCGGCCGCCCGGGCTATAAGCTGTGCCTAAGGCTGCACCTGCAGACGCCCACCGTCCCGCGCTGCTCCAACTACATATCGCTGTTCGTTCACACCATGCAGGGAGCCTTCGACGCGCAGCTCTCCTGGCCCTTCCAGGTAGAGTTGTCACGATACGAAAATGTTCAATTTCCTGACCCTAACCCACATTAATGACCCTAACCCTAGCCCACATTAATGACCCTGACCCTAACCCTAACCCTTCGACGCGCAGCTCTCCTGGCCTTTCCAGGTAGGGCTGTCACGATACGAAAATGTTCAATTTCCTGACCCTAACCCTTACCCTAGCCCACATTAATGACCCTAACCCTAACCCTAACCCTAACCCTTCGACGCGCAGTTCTCCTGGCCCTTCCAGGTGGGGCTGTCACGATACGAAAATGTTCAATTTCCTGACCCTAACCCTAACCCTATCCCTAACCCTAACCCACATTAATGACCCTAACCCTAACCCTAACCCTAGCCCACATTAATGACCCTAACCCTTCGACGCGCAGCTCTCCTGGCCCTTCCAGGTAGGGCTGTCACGATACGAAAATGTTCAATTTCCTGACCCTAACCCAAACCCTAACCCACATTAATGACCCTAACCCTAACCCTAACCCTAACCCTGACCCTAACCCTTCGACGCGCAGCTCTCCTGGCCCTTCCAGGTAGGGCTGTCACAATACGAAAATGTTCAATTTTCAACTCGATACCGATACTCAGGAAAATACTCGATACCATTTTCGATACCACAAGGATTAAAAAAAGACCCCAAAATTTAGATACATTTTGACAGGTTAGTGTCTTTGGTTTCAAACTCACCTGTTACTGATGTTATGGTGGCCCACATTAATGACCCTAACCCTAACCCTAACCCTAGCCCACATTAATGACCCTGACCCTAACCCTAACCCTAGCCCACATTAATGACCCTAACCCTTCGACGCGCAGCTCTCCTGGCCTTCCAGGTAGGGCTGTCACGATACGAAAATGTTCAATTTGTTCAAAAATACTCGATACCATTTTCGATACCACAAGGATTAGAAAAAGACCCCAAAACTTAGATGAATTTTGACAGGTTAGTGTCTTTCATTTCAAACTGACCTGTTACTAATGTTGTCGTGACTGGTGGCCTGCATTAATAAGCCTAGGGTTAATAAGCCTAACCCTAACCCCGATACTTTTGAAAATGAGTATCGTATCCGGATACAACATTTTAGTATCGATAATTTTTTGAGGATCGATACTTTTGAAAATGAGTATCGTATCCGGATACAACATTTTAGTATCGATACTTTTGAAAATGAGTATCGTATCCGGATACAACATTTTAGCATCGATACTTTTGAAAATGAGTATCGTATCCGGATACAACATTTTAGTATCGATACTTTTGAAATCCGGATACAACATTTTAGTATCCATACTTTTGAAAATGAGCATCGTATCCGGATATAACATTTTAGTATCGATCATTTTTTGAGTATCCATACTTTTGAAAATGAGTATCGTATCCGGATACAACATTTTAGTATCGATCATTTTTTGAGTATCCATGCTTTTGAAAATGAGTATCGTATCCGGATAGAACATTTTAGTATCGATACTTTTGAAAATGAGTATCGTATCCGTTGAAAATGAGTATCGTATCCGGATACAACATTTTAGTATCCATACT